AACAGCCTCAGTGGTAAAAACAACAAGATGACAATAGTGAGCATACTATTTCTGATTCTAGTAATGACAATATATAATACCCTATACGATGTAAAATGAACATGTAGGTAGTGGAGAAACAGAAGAGCGAAAAATCAAATTCTGCTCTCAAAGTGTAAGAAGACTAGATTATCATTCCCTGGTGCTGATGACAATATTTTGTCCTTTTGGCATACGTGAAGCAGGTTGCTTGGGGTTGGCTTCTAGATCGATCTCGACGCCCTCTGGAGGAGAGAAAGTGAAGTTCTGCAGAAGGGCTGCCGTGAAGATGTATAGTTCCATCCTTGACAGACCCTCCCCAAGACAGCCCCTTCGTCCTGCGTTGGAAAATTTCTGATTATCGCCTTTTGCGTTTCATTGAAGGGTATCATGATTATAGTCGCCACAGGGTATGAGCTTGACTAAGATAACGACGCCGGAAGATTTGGCTTACCTGTACCAAAGGGCATGAATCCCTCCTTGGGCGTTTTGAGTTTCCCTTCTTCGTCGAGGAACCGCTCGGGTCGAAACTCCTGCGGTTCTTCCCAGTAGCGTGAGTCCATGTGGCATATTCCCGAGCACCCGAACAACCACGATCCCTGAGGTACAGTGTATTTGAGTTATGGATTTATTACCAGGCGCCTGTAGTTTTTTTTTTAAGTATTTTAGGAAGAACGACGGGTAAGAAGGGCGAGGCAGATACTTGCCTTTGGAATTAAGTAGCCTCCCAGGTAAATATCGGTCTCATTTGCGCGTTGAACTCCGTTGTGAATCAGGGACGACACACGTAGAACCTCCTGGACCGTCGCTTCGAGTAACGGCAGCCTAGATTGGGGACAATGCCGCAACATCAGTCAAGTCCTAATCATAATATCAGGCTCTAATACTCAGCAGATGGTTCGCCGGCAAGATAGGTGAACTTACCGACTCTTGTGCTGGTATGAGGGTAAGGTGTCGCGCGGGACAACCTCGTCGATCTGCTGTTGGACGCGACGCTGCACTTCAGGGTACTTGGCCATGTAGAGGATGATCCAGTGCAGGGTGTTGGACGTCGTGTCGAAGCCCGCGGAGAACAGGTCGAAGATAATCCTCATCAGATCCAGCTCTACAAGAATTATAATGTATTATTTATCGAAACATTTTTTTATATTTATCTAACAATTAAGAGAAAGTACAAAACGAAAACTCACCACTGAAGTACTCAGCAATTTCGCTCTTTTCGTCTATGGCTATCAAATATTCATCGATGACGTCACGGGGGTTGGCAGGGTCGAGCGTGGCTCTGTGAGAATCTATCGTGTCCTGAGGGAAGTCGGGTTTCCAGTAACGCATGTTTTACACAAGATTAGCACATACACATATTCATAAAAATACGAATAAACACTTTTTATTAGTATAATACACACACAGACACGTTATTTACCAGATGTTAACATCCCACCCTCGAAATTATTTGACGGTTTTCAAACGAAGAAAAGAAGAAAAAAATGAAGGAGAATGACAGAAAAAAAATGAAGGGAAGTATCCACATAACACCATCCATTTACCTTCAATAAAGTCACTATGCTGTCTTTGACCCTCCTCATGATTCCCGTTAGTAATTTTTCCTTCATGAATTCCGGCAGCAGTTTCCTAATCCACGGGATGAACTCGATCAACAAAGCCGCGGAGGACGCGTCGACGGACCTCAAGATGGTGATGGGTTTGAGCACCTCCTTGTCGTAGAGATCGTAGCGCTTGTCTGTGCAATGATGGTGATAGCAAAGTTAACAACAATATAATTGAAATGATGATGATAAAGTGAGAACAACTATAACTGTGATGATGATGATGATGATGATAATCATGATCATTATTATTAACCATAATGATAGAAATAATAATAACGATAAATGGAAAAATAATATTTTGACGAGTAATAATAATCATAAAACAAATGATCACACCAATGTTAACAATAATGACAATAATGATTTTATTTTTATTATGCACATTATCATTATCACAACAATAACGAGAGTATCAATAACAATAATTAATAATAGAAATGATGATGAACGACGAAAATTAATAAAGCAATATATAACAATAAGAACAACAAGAATAATCATAAAAATAATAATGATAAGAAGAATCAATAATGAAAAAAATATAAAAATGTTAATAATAACGACAACAATAATGATGATAGATAATGATAGGCTAAGACACTATTCACTAGTTCAATGAACATAATCATAATCTCTCAGCGATGCGACATACTTGCGACCATCTGCCAGATGATGTTCAAGACGGCAACATTGAGCGACTCCGGCGCGTGACAAGGCGTTCCAGCGTAGGAACTGAAGTCCTTGACCAGCGCTCTGGCCTCCTCCAGGATGCTCTCCTCCAGGTAGGTCTTTCCCATCCCGAGATCACGAAGGTTGCGCAGCAGGAACCTCCGAGCGTTCTGCCATCGCTTGCCGTTGCTCATCACAACACCTGCGCACAATGTACATTATTGCAAGCCATGTACTATCTGATGCAGTAGGCGTGCGTGCATGCGTGTGTGTGTGCGCGCGTGTGTGTGTGTGTGTGTGTGTGTGTGTGTGTGTGTGTGTGTGTGTGTGTGTGTGTGTGTGTGTGTGTGTGTGTGTGTGTGTGTGTGGTTGTCCGTGCGTGCGTGTGCGCGCGCGTGCGCATTATATGTTACATATATTTTCACAAACACCAAGTGCATACAACATACAGAGTGTCTACTTACCCGCTTCTTGTCCATCAGTCAGAAAGTGCACCATTTCTAACTGAGGACGATCAGCAAACTTTGCATACGCTTCCTTGATAAGTTTGTTGCTGCAAAGGAATATGAACTTGTGCGGCCCTAGTTCCGACCTGAAAAGTAGATTTATATGTGTGTCTATATATACATCATATATCATATATTATATCATATATGTAGCGTATGGCACATATTTATATTTTCTTTTTTTCTGTATTCATTCATTTATGCATATCTTCGGGTACTAAAACTCCACAGGATAACTTCGTCAAAAGTTTCCTGATGAAGACTAACAGCCACACTAATAATATCAGTGTTCAGTGCGACAAATGTAGAAAAAGGTATGAATAAGAATGAATATCTCTTGCACTGTAAAGATATTCATTCTCATTTATTTTTATACAACAGAAAGACTGGGTCTTAAATTGTTGTCCCTTTCGCAACATGGATATACAAAAGCTCAACATATACCAAAAAGGCCTTACCGCTATATATGAAATAAAGGGAAAGGGAAGTTAAAGGCTGAGCAACTCGCACTCCTTTAAACTAGTACTTCTGAAAGGTTGCTTCACAGGACTCCAGAGCTTCCAGTATACTGACCAAGAATTCAGGTCAGCAAATTTACGTTATTTTCACACGCCTCCGTACTCCATTGTTTAGATATTCGTATTTCTGCCGGTATTTTAGAGAACGCTTGGCCAAAAGGATATGGTTTGAAAATTGGAGAGAGAGAGAAAAAAAGAAACTTACTTAAATATATCACCATATGTTTTGTGCATCTCCTGCACATGCTCGACATTGAAGACAGGCCTGGAGCCAAGGTATGGTATGACCATCGGGCCTGAAATACGTTTTGTATTATTTTTCAGAAAGGGGAAATGTTATCATCTGATGCATTGTCATCTTCATGATCAAGTCCTGAACTAAACAGCCTTACCTGGTGGCATTCCCCGAGGTCTGGAAATCCAATAGTGAAGCAGAATCACTCCCGCCGCGAACAGCAGGATCTCTATAATCATGGTGGCGATCTGCAATACCTGCAATACAAGGTTTTCAAATATATATGTATGCATAAACACATGTCTGATTAAACTATACGCACAAACACACACGCACGCATGTATGCATGCACCCAAACACACACACACACACACACACACACACGTTGTATAATGTCAGTCTCAGGTTAAAGTCAAAGTTGGTTTCATATTTAAATGGAGGTAGGGGACATGTTCGTAGAGAAAACATGCATGTCAAGCCGCGGGCTAAGGCTGTAGCGTGGCCAGTTCCTTTCCGGCCGGCATGCCAGTACTCACTCACAGCTGAGAGGAACGTCAAACACAAAGCTTGGACTCTTGGCCAGCACTCTACCATAGTTTATGAAAGTCTGCATGAATATATCTATCAATGTCTACGGTAAGTCTTAAACCAGGGGTTCCCATTTTTTTTCCAGGTTGGCACCCCTTTGGATTCTAAGTGGATTCCTAGCCCCCCACCCCCCACATGATTAAACACAAAGGCAAAATACACAAATAAAACCTAATTCTGTAAACCAATGCAGGTTTAGCTGTCTGCCCTCTACCAATCGGTAAATTTGAAAACTGGATTCGTTCGATTTCTATTGTTTTGATTCGTTTAATTCTGTGGTTCGTTTCCATCGGAAATGGCTGGAATGTCGTTTCCATTCAAGAATGGCGCCCCTTTTGATATCACTAAAAATTTCTTTCCTTTTTTACTATTTTCTATTGTTTTTCTTTGCTTCTAACTTAATCATTACTCGTTTTGAAGCTTGTTTATCGCTTGCATTCGAATTTGCCGAAAATAGCCGTGCGGGCGGCTGCGCAATTATGCCGAAAAAGTATAGGATTGGAAATGTACAAGGCCTGGATATATTATTTTTTCCTAGCCAGGGCATGTACCCCTGGAGCGCTATTCACGAAAGTTCTCAGACAGTTTTAAGACGATTCTGAAACTAAAATTTGAGAATGTCTCAAAAGTGTCTGAGGCCGGCGCTGCCACATAGAAAAATACTAACAAATAGATGGATAAAATTAATATTTTCATATTACTCAAAATAGCGTGTATAATGTTTAATTATTTATTATACTAATGCGGTCATGACCACGTTCATTTTAAATAAAACCTGACATACATCAAATAACAAAAGTGACACGTGGTGCCAATGCCCTTCGATTGCCTACATCGTTCATTTGCGCTTATCTGT